AATGAGAAGAATTGCTCCACTATCAAAAATATTTTTAAGCACTATGAAGAATGTTCTGGACAAAAGATAAATCATGATAAATCTATAATTACATTTGGATCCAAAATTCTAGGAAACAAACAAGATCGTCTCAAAAATATTTTGGAAATCACAAAAAACGGCGGAGGTGGGAAATACCTAGGACTCCCAGAACGGTTTGGAAGAAAGAAGAAGGACATGTTCAACAATGTTATTACCCATGTCAAACAACAAACATCCTCATGGAGTGCAAAGTTACTATCTCCGGCAGGAAAAGAGGTATTAATGAAATCGGTGGCCATGTCCATGCCCGTTTATTCAATGTCTTGTTTTAAACTTTCCAATCAAGTAATCTCTCAACTTAATAGTATTCTCACACAATTTTGGTGGAAAAAAATAATCAATCTACGGGAATTTCTTGGGTAGCTTGGAAACGCTTACAATACACTAAAACAGAAGGTGGTTTAGGTCTCAAAGACTTAGAAAAGTTTAATGATGCTTTACTTGCTAAACAAGCCTGGAGACTTCTCCAACACCCTCATTGTCTATTGTCTCAATGACGAACACCTCTTTGATGAAAAACCACGTAGATACCAATCTTATGGTTGGGCATCGCTCTTACATGGTATTGATCTCATTAAAAAGGGTTCTCGAGTAATCATTGGCAATGGTAATCAAACAAAAGTTTTCGGCCACAATTGGCTCCCCTCTAACCCTCCAAAACCGGCTGAGGGTGGCGAAGTGAACTCCAACTTATTGGTGAAAGAATTACTTACCATTGACTACACCAAACGCTGGAACATCCCAGAATTGCTCATCTTTCTGCAAGGGATATAGAACTTACGAAAAAAATCTTTTTACGACAAGGCAGCAGTGACGATCGAATATGTTGGAACTATACAAAAAATGGTCAATACACTGTTAAATCGGGTTATTGGTTTCTCCGTCATCAACTCACAGCTCCTCACATACCACACGGGGATCCCCTCCTAAAGTCTCGAATATGGAAACTCCAAATAATGCCTAAACTTAAACATTTTCTATGGCGAATACTATCAAAAGCTCTTGGAGCTGCTACTAGACTTCAAAGCCGTGGAAACGACATTCCCACCACTTGTGTCCAATGCGGAACTGTGCCAAAACAGTACAACACCTTTTCTTTGAATGCCCCATTTTAATATCAACGTGGAGAAGAGCCAGCACAACTCTTAACTTTTTCTAACTCTCTCTTCACAAGGTACAGAAAGTACAATAAGACTCATCCTAGATGCGCAAACAATTGGTGGCTTAGATGTAAAGGATAAATTACTACCTTTTTGGCTTCTCTGACGCATTTGGAAATCACGAAATAATCTTATTTTTCAAAAGAAGCAAATAATGGTTGCCAAAGATGTAAACAAATGTTTAGCAGATGTAAGTGAATGGATCCAAAACACTACCCCACAACTAGGAAGTGGCCTCGCCTCCCTTTCGCTGCGAATGTGGAAAATGACCACCCCTTGGTTACATTAAATGTAATTATGATGCTGCTTTTAGCCCCTATACCTCATATTCTTCTGCCGGCCGGATTCTCTGTGACAGTTATGGAAACAATAAATACTGGGGAGCTACAATTTTGAAATCTACGAGTTCGTGTCTTGAAGCTGAAGCAAAATCCTTACTAGTTGCTATCCAACACTCTTGGGTGATGGGTTTTGACTATATTATCTTTGAAGGAGACTGTTTCCTTTTAACAAACTTACTACGACTCAATGACGAAGACATAAGCATAGCTAATTTAGTAGACGAGATTAGATTTTGGTTACTAAAATTCCAATCTATTCAAATTACTCATGCAAAAAGAAATTGTAATATTGTAGCTCATAGTTTAGCAAAACATGGTTCTATACATGGTCTTTTTTTTTCTGGAACTGTTTTTCGCCCTTTTTGGTTAACCAATTCTTTGTATCAAGATTATATCAATTCTATATGAATGAATATTTGCAGTTAAAAAAAAACTAAATATATTTAAAATTTTTTAATATATGATAAGAGTTTTATTCCTAATTATATAAATAACAGTTTTATTATTTGCCAAAATAAAATTTCTACGTCTTCTTCTATAGAATGATTTGTGCTCTCTATGGCAGTCGATAATGTATCTATTACTAATAAAATTTGATGTTAAATGCCTCTAAGGGTGTCCATATAGGATTTAAAGATTTAATTCTATTAGTACATATTATCATTATCTTTAGTTAATTATATATTGTATATTAAAATTAATTAATTCATTTTAATTGTTATAAGAAAAATTTCTAAATTTTAATTAATTTCATTTTTGTTGTTATTAGGAAAGTTTCTAAATTTTAAGTTAGTTATTAATAAAAAGGAGTTTTGAAAATAAATCTTATTTTTCTATTAACAATAAAAAGCAAATTAACATATAAATAGATTATAAAAAAATTATATATATTGAACAAAATAATTAAAAACTGTATTTAAAACCATAATTAAATTATTAAAAAATTTTATGACAAACAATTAAAATCTGAACTTCTAACTTAAAATATATTAGTTGTGGTCTGTGTTGATGTCTTAGGCTAATGACATATATACTCAATCTCATTGGTCTATATCAGCATTTTTCATTAATCATAAAAATATTAAATATTATTAATAATTTAAATAAATTAAAACATGTAAAAATATATACTTATCATGGTAGAATGGAATTTTTTTTTAACTAAATAAAATAAAATTATGTCAAAAATCTAAATCTATAACGTTTGTCAAAATAAAATGGAAATTCATTGTTACAACAACTAAACTAACAAAAACAAATATGTAAATTAATAGCAAAAATTTAAATTAAAAAAAATTAGCATATTTATTTTAAACGAGTAATTTATTTAGAAAAAATATTAAGATTAAATTTTTATATAAACATATAAAATTTTTATTTAAAAATATCAATACTGCTAAAAAACATTCATGTTAAATTAACAAAAGAAAAAAATCATCTAAGACTTGATATTTAGCATAATTATTTAGAAAATTAACATAAAAAGCTTAACTAACCAAATGATACTTTATGCTAATTACTGAAAAAAGCAATATAAAAAATTTTAACTAAAAAAAAAACAAAACATAAATTATTTTTTGCAACATGTCAATACAATCAAAATGAAAGTCTATATCGATAAAGTTAATTTAACAAAAAAAGTGGATATTAACTTGATATATATGTTATTTATTTAACAAAATCAATATAAACAGAATAAGTAAGAGAATAAAAAAACTTAAGTAATACTAAAAAACTTAACTAAAAATAATATAAATATTTAAGCTAATTATTTAAGAAATCAATATTAAAAATTAATTAACTAAAAACTAAAACAAAAATTAAGTTTTAAAAATGTTAAATTTTTAAAAAAACACCTAAAAATATATTGACTTGATATCTGACTAACTATTTAAGAAATTCATATAAAAACATTTAAGTAAAAAAAAAAATGCAATTATGTCTTCAAAATACCAATATTTTCAAAAGAATAGTGTGTTAAAATAAAATAAAAATCAATATCAAGAAAAGTAAATTATCAAAGAAAAAAGTCGTATAAAGTAAAATTAGCTTGATATTTAGACTAACTACCAAAAACATATTAACTAAAAAGGCAAATGATAGTATAAGCTTTTGAGAGAAGTTCACATAAAATTTAGAATAACCAGTTATATCATGTTAAAATAGCATTTTAATTAATTTAAAAAGTAAATTTAACAAAGAAAATATACTTATGTAAAAGATATTAAATTAATATATATGCTACCTGTTTGGAAAATCAATAACAAAAGAGATTAATTAAAAAAATATATATGTTTTAAGTATATTTAACATGCAAAAAATTAGATAATTAAAATAAAATATAAAATTACCATCGAAGATATTTAAAATAACAAAAAACAAGATCTAAGAAGAAAATTAGTTTGAAATTTAGTTCCAGAAAATTCATGATTTCTAAAATATAAACTTATAATAGGTTATACAAGTTTCTAAATGAAACATATTATTTAAATTTTACAAAGATTAATACCTTGGATACGTCTGATTTTAAAACTAACAAAGAAAAATACTACACAAGTAACTTTACAATCAAAATATAACAAGTAATAAAGTCTGATTTGTATACATAGTTACTCCTTATAACTTAGTTAACATGAACAACATCTTTTAAAATTTTATTTAAATAATAAAATATGACAAAATCATGAATCAAATTCAAATGGAAATATATGTAGATAAACTATTCAAATCAAAACATGAATAAAACACACAACAAATAAAAAAAACAATGATAATGTGAACTCTCCACACCATCTTACATGTTTGAAAACAAAAATTAGCAAATAGTTAACTGCAAATAAAACATATTTTATAAACTGAATCGAGATATAACCTAAAATTCATAGAAGATCTGGTGGAGAAGCAAAAAACAGCTTTACACGATTAATGTAGTTTACTAACCAAAGTAAATATGAAGAAATATATATCATATATTATATTTGTATATGTATACAACATCAGTGAGATATTTAGTAAAAAACTAAATATTTAAACATATAAACCTTTTAAAAAAAAGGAACTATAGAAATCCTAAGGACACAAAAAAAAACACCAAAAATTTAGTAAGAAAATTATTTTCTAAATCAAACGTATGCATATTGAAGTTAGATAATTCGTTAGATATCATTACTATGATTTTATTTAATAAGATTTATAATTTTTTAAACAAAAAATAGGAAAAATTATATATTATGTTTAGTTTTTTTTATATAAATTTTTTTTATTACTATATTATAGTTTTGATAATTTAAAAAATATTAGTAAAAAAATTAAACCAAAGTATTAAAATAGACTCGCGTGCTTGTTAAAAGATGAATAAAAAAGCCCATGAGTTTATATTCTTAACAGAAGTTGCGGTTCAACCGCACCGCACTTGATCCAAGTACAAAGCGCGTTTGTGTACGTTTTGTAAAACAGTTTACGTCATCATAAGCTAAAGTGCGCCGAAGACAAAGTGGCGCACACTCTCGCCGTGCTCATCCATTTTCTCCGATCCACCAAATCTCCAAAACCTCAAATTGCAGAAAAATTCACCACTGAGAAAAAGAAGGATCTGAGGACATGGCCGTCCGAGCAACGGTATCGCGTTTTCCGATCGACGCCGACGCTCAGGAGGCGTCAGGACTCCCTTGGGGACTAACAGTAACACCATTCGCGGCCAAAGACGAGAACGGAATCGGACCAGCGTACGGATCGAACGGCCATCTTCTTCCTCGATGCGAGAATTGCTATGCATACTTCAACACTTACTGTGAGCTCGATCAGTGGGCTTGGAACTGCTCGCTTTGCGGCACTCTCAATGGACTACCTTCCGATGCAATTGCTCGTTACTCTAACCCTCAGTCTATCGCCGAAATGTCTTCCTCCTTCATAGATCTCGAGTTGCCTTGTTCGTTCTACATCACCTTTTCGCACCGATCCTTTTTTTTTTTTGATTCGTCTCTGATTTTTGCTTATTTTGTTCTTTTTTTAGTGGATGCATCGGAGGAAGAAATGACGCAAGCAAGGCCTGTTTATGTGGCTGCGATTGATATCTCATGTAAGGCTTCATTCTTCTCTCTTACCGGGGGATTTATGGTTAATCTCGTCGTGTTCAGTGTAGATTGCAGTTGAATTGCGCTTTGGTGAACTTTAAATTGTGATTGAAGTATCATTTACTATGAATGTTGTCCACAATTGGGATTGAATGTGATCTGGATCGTGATTCTAGCATGGGTTTTTATGTTTTCTGTTGTTACCGTCGAGTTTCTGTTCGAATGTATTGTTAATCTCATCGTATTCACTGTATGCTTTTGGTGAACTTTGAATGGTGATTGTAGTTTTTTTACTATGAATGTTGTCCATAATTTGGATTAATTGTGATCTGGATTGTGATTCTAGCATGAGTTTGTTTGTTTGCTATTGTTCCTTCGGGTTTTTGCTTGTTTATTGTTGTAATGTTATGATCATTCAGTTGGTCTTCATAAAGTTTACGTTTCAGTGGCTCAGATGTAATGTTGTTCTCTCTTACCTTCGGATTTGTGGTTTAATCTAATCGTGTTAAGTGTAGAATGCAGTTGAATTGGGCTTTTTGTGAACTTTGAACTGTGATTGTAGTATCATTTACTATGAATGCTGTCCACAATTTGGATTGGATGTGATCGAAAGTGTGATTCTAGCATGAGTTTGTATGTTTTCTGTTGTACCTATCGAGTTTTGGCTTGTTGTGGTTGTGATGTTATGATCGTTCAGTTGGTCTTCATCAAGTTTCTGTTTGAATGTTTCGGATATAATCGGTTTGGTGCTGCTAGAACGACTCACATGTTATTTCTTTCTTCCTTAACATATTTCTTCAGTTTTCTTATGTTTCTGTCTGAATTGTGTGTTTGGGCCATCTTCTTGTTCAAATGTTGCACTTTTTGTGTTGCTCATAGTTACATTTTTCTGCAGCTTCTGAGGAATTTTTGGAGCTTACCAAAAGTGCATTGCTAGCTGCTCTGGAAGGTACATACTTTGAAGCAAGGATTTAAAGTTCTCGTCTGTGTGATTGTGTTCTGAGGGTGGACTTTTCTCTCCTGTTTTCTATTTTGCAGCACTAAGTCCTGGGTCTCTTTTCGGTCTTGCTACCTTCAGCCACAAAATAGGACTGTATGATGTTCAAGGACCTATACCAGTTGTAAAGAATGTATTTATTCCTCCCGATGCGGAGAGCAGCTTACCACTAGAACTTGAGGATGCCATGCCCTTGTTACAATTTTTGGCTCCTGTATGGTCATTTTTTATCATTTCCTCCTGTTTTCTACCTTGAGGTCATTCATGATGATCGTTGGAAACCCCTGTAGATAGACTAAGTTCCCTTTATATACCTCCTGCAGGTAAAAACTTGTAAGGATCGTATTGCTGCTGCCCTTGAGACACTCAGACCGATAACTTCTTGGGAAAGATCATCTGGAGCAGCTCAAGGGCTGGATAGCGTGTTGATGGGTGGTAGAGGCTTTGGTACAGCAATGGAAGCTCTCTTCAACTATCTAGGATCTGAATTTGGGAATACGTTTGCATTAGGTATGTGAAAATGTGGTCTAGTCTTTGTCCTCTCTTCACCAGGTTGTTTCGCAGTTGGTAGTGTTTTATTGACTTTATATAATTGCAGCTAGGGTGTTTGCTTTCCTCTCTGGTCCTCCTGATTATGGACGTGGGCAACTTGATACAAGTAGGTATGGTGAACAATATGCAAGTAAAAGGGTGGATGCTGATCGCGCTCTGCTTCCTGAGCAAACACCATTCTACAAAGACATAGTAAGTCTTACTTCAATACTTTTCTTTCTCAAAGATGAATATATTTTGAGCTTAGCACTGACGGTTCTTTTATAGGCCACCATTGCTGTTCAATCAGGTGTTTGCGTAGACGTGTTTGCAGTTACAAATGAGTACACAGATTTAGCATCCCTGAAGTTCCTTAGCATCGAAAGTGGGGGCTCGCTGTTTTTGTATTCAAGCACGGATGATTCGACTCTTCCCCAAGACATGTTAGTTCTGATACTTGACTAGCATTAGATTTTTCCACTTCAACAGAAAAAGGCATGCTGTGTTTTATTCACGTGTTACCAAATTAATTGAAACAAAATTGCATGATGTTTCTTTTGTAGGTTTCGGATGCTTAATAGGCCCTATGCGTTCAATTGCGTCTTGAGATTGAGGACATCAACTGAATTCAAACCTCTCCACTCTGTATGTCGATTTAGCGAGAAACGAAAGTATAGATGATACTCTGTTTCTAATTCTTTTTGCTTCAGCTAACAATTTAGCCTTAACTTGCAGTTTGGTCACTTCTTTGCCGATCCACAGTACGAGAACCTTCAACATATCATCTGCTGTGATTCATATGCAACATACGCTTATGACTTTGAATTTGCAGATAATACTGGATTTTCCAGGTAAACTAAACAATAATTGCTTTTTCCTATATAATATTTTCATGATTTGAGTGGAAGGGATGAAATGGGTGCAGATTGTTCCCATGCACTCGCAGTCTTTTTTAAAGTTGCTGTTCATTGATTTTGCACTTCTATTATGACTCAATATATAATCTGTAGATAGTAATTTTCATGCTTTCATAGACCTTTTTACTAAATTACTGAATCCAGTAAGAGCAAAATAGCTTAGCATTTTAGAAGAAGTCACCAATTTGATAAACAGACTTCACATTCGAAGATGCTTAGTTCTTATTTCTCATTACCTTTTTTTTTTGCAGACATAGTGGAGAGCAACCTGTGGTGCAAATTGCATTCCAGTACTCAGTTGTTGTACCTCCCGAGGGGCTACCAAATTCAGAAATGTCATCTTCAAGTAGGTATGATTAATTAATCCCATGATAAAGCTTTTGATCGAATCATTGTAGTCATTGTACGCCAGTGGCAAACTAGTTAACATGGACTCAGCTTTTTATCAAAAAAAAATTATCATTCGAACATTTATATCGTTTTGTATTCTAGAAAAATATTGAACTTCCCTAATGACTTAGTACACATTCAAATTTTGAACTAATTTATATTTTACAGAGGCAAGCACACGCTTCAGAGACGACTAAGGATCAGAACCATGAATTTCGGAACTGCCAAAAATATCAACGAAATCTACGACAGTGTGGATCATGAAGTTGTTCTCTCATTGCTCGTTCACAAGGTTAAAAAATAAAAAGCTCATTTGATGTTTTTCAAATCCATTATCAACCTTGCTAATTAATACATGTATAATTATTTCTCCTTGCAGGTAATTTTAGTCTCTCTAGAAGATGGAGTCCGAGAAGGAAGAGCATTGCTTCACGATTGGCTTGTAATCCTAACCACACAATACAACGACGCATTTCAACTCGTCCAATACAAAAACGGAAACAAGTCAATGAGTTCACAAATCGACATCACATTCTCACAATGTCCTCAGCTCGAGCCTCTTCCTCGCTTAGTCTTTGCCTTACTACGTAACCCTCTCCTCCGTTTTCATGAAGAAGGTGTTCATCCTGATTACAGAATCTACTTGCAATGCCTCTTCAGGTAAAAGTTTCTGCGTTTTGTGAAATCACAAAGTTTTTTTTTTTTTTGCCAATTGTAAAACGCAAGCGCGAATAGCAGTGTGTTGGAACCGAGCTCTCTTCACTGCGGGATATACCCGGCGCTAATGTCGTACTCAACGCCGGATAAACAAGCGTACCCGCGACATTCGTTGAGCCGTGCGGCGTTGATAACAAGTGGCAGTCCGATATTTTTCTTAGATGCATATTCAACTTTGATCGTCTTCTACTCATCAACAGCTGATTCTTCACTTCCTTTTCCTCCACCACAAGACTGTAAGTTTTTTTTTTTTTTTTTTGCTTCAGTAAAGTTGAATTCACCTTTTAAGATTTTGTTAAATTTGTGAAATTTTTTTGGATCTTGTAGGTTTATTGAGGAAGACTATAAATAAGGTGAAGCAAGAAAGGAGTATTACACCGAAACTGATGTTTATACGAGGAGGACAAGACGATGCTTCAGCGTTTGAGAATTATCTTATTGAGGAACAAGACGTTGATGGTAGCGGTTTTGCTAGTGCTATGGGTTTTGTTTCTTTCCTTGATGATATCTCGCAGAGTGTCGCTGAACACATGAAGTAGAAAAGCAACAAAATGACAATCTTTTAGCATTTTTTTTTTTATATATATACATTCATAATGTGTCATACGTTTCTAAGAGTTTTTACTCTTCTTGTTGTAACATTTTGCTTTGCGTAACTTTTAAGCTCCCTAAATCAATTTGAAATTGAATAATAATTAGGCAAGAATGTGTTCTTCTAACCAAATCTATTATGAGATATTGGTACTTTAGTTTATGTAGTCATGTACAAAAACATCAATTTCTAAAATCTCACTTACATATCTGTTAATCAAAGGGCAAACCGATCATGTGAACAAAAACTTGAAAACCTCTGCTTCGCTCTTCTTCTACATAAATAATAACTTGAAAACCTCAGCTTCACTCGTCTTCTTCATCACCCTCTTCCTCTTCACCACTCCCACTCCCACTCCCACTCCCACTCCCATTTTCTTCCATGCTATTATCCTCATTCCCGCTCTCGTTTCCATTCCCTTCCGCGCTGTTCTCTTCATCGTTCCCATTCTCTTCGGTATTATCATCATCCTCATCGTTCACATTCTCTTCTGTGTCCTCATCGTTCCTGTTCTCTTCGGTATTATCATCATCCTCATTGTTCACATCCTCTTCTCTGTTGTCCTTCTCATTCTCCTCAACATTCTTGTTTTCTCCTTCATCTCTCTTGCTTTTCCTCGCACCCTTTTGCGTCGATGGTCCTTCCTGTTTCCTCTTTTTCGTCTCTTTCGGCTTCGTAGCAGCTCCACCACCAGCCTTTTTCTCGGCGTTCTTCTTCTTAAACTCTGAAAATCAGCAAAGGGTGATTACATAGAATAAGCTCAAAACTGATCAGTATCCAAAGTTTAACTCATTTACAAAACAACATTAGAGCTCTAATTTCTTCCATAAAAACGTAAGCAATTTCCCTAAATCTCCATAAACTAACAACAGATATGGAGAATATGGTTCTCCCTTCATCAGAACAACAACTAACCTTCGAGAGAAGCTTGAAGCGGCTCCAAAAATTCTGCAAAATCCATTTCTTCTAATGCCTTAAACACATCATCGGCCTTTATCGTTTGCCGTCTTGAATCCTTACAGAAATCATTTGCCCTATGATTTTACCACAGATGAAAACCAAATTAAGGACACCAATTTGATACATTATTCGTCAATTTCGAAAGTTTTTTTCCCTAAATTCATCAATTAAATCAACATTTACAATAAATATGCGTAACCCAGATTTGGCACAGTTCGTATTAATTCGAAGGTGAATCAGATTTACTATTGTAATGAAGAAATTCGGAAACTTAGGGTTTTGAGGGCGTACGTGGCGGAGAGGTAGTGGATGAAGATCCTAGCACTCTCCGAGAATGCGAGCAGCGCTTCCTTGTGAATACTGACGTCATAATCCGGCGAGCACTCCGAGAGCTTTTCCTTCACCACCCGGCGCACGATAGCTAGCGGCAGCTCGTCCACCACCACTTTCTCCGATTCCATCTTCTTCTGGGATCAATGGCTAGAATGCCACTTTTTGAGAAAAGATAGATCTCATATGCCATTGTCTAATAAATCATTTCTTTTGTTTTTAAATCCAAAATTTAAGAAAATATTCTTATATCTCAATTGATTTTATTATTTACTAATTCAACTATTTATTCTATTTATCTAAACCTAAAAGATCGTAAATCTTCCCTATCGACAATTGTTTTTATCTCTCTTTTTCTTTGAGCTTTTCTTCCAAATCTTTTCCTTTTTCTCCTCGTCTTTTCTCGATGGCTTCATCGTTTCTCTGATGCTTCTCCACCGTGATGGATTTCGACGTAATTTGGCCGTCTGACTATTTTAACCTTTGACACATATCTATGCCTGCATCTCTCCACAGAACTGCCCTGTTTTCGCTTTTTTCTCTCTGGTTGCGTTTCTATTTCTACTGGGTTCAATCTGCTGCTACCTAAACGCTGTCACCGAGATGATTCGAGGTCGGCGTCCTCTCAAGGTAATAAAAAGAAGAAAGGACAAAGTTTGAAGGGTTGAAGGCATGGAGTTGGAAACAAGATCGAAGAAGGTGGATTCGATGTAAAATTGCTGTTTAGAGTGCTCGAGCATCTGGGCTCGGTTCTGGGTTGTGTTCACTTAGATAGATTTCCCAATAGCTTGAAATCTCTGGTACAAATTATAATGAAGATGGGTCAAGGTAAATCCAATTTGAGGATATTATACCTTTGTTGATAAGCTCGTTAGGAAACTCTTAAAATGTTGTGGAAGATTCATGGGGATTGGGTTGTCTAGTCGTGGTGCTTAACATTCATTTTGCTAGTTTTTCAATAGTGGAGCTTCAGCAACATCAAACTATGGAATTTTTGATCTAGATTTTTGTGAGAACTATGAAAAATATAATGTTTGTGAGGTACAACTGAAATATATGGTTCGACTGAGTGAGTTTTACCGTTCAACTGAGTTATATTAAGTTCATTTGGATTTTATTAAGTACAACGGATGACACAAGTAACAAGGTACAACTGAAATACATGGTTCGACTTAGTGAGTTTTATGGTTTAACTAGTCTTTATTAAGTTCAACTGGATTTTATTAAGAACAACGAATGACACAAGTAACGAGGTACAACTGAAATACATGGTTAGACTGGGTGAGTTATATGGTTCAACTGGATTTTATTAAGTTCAACTGGATTTTATTAAGTATAACCAATGACACATAGTTCGACTTAATATGTTTTACGGTTTAATTGGGTTTTATTAAGTACAACGAATGACAAATTATGGGTTTTCATAATTGTTTAATTTATTTTTAATAAAAAAATTGAAGCATCGTCTCCTCTCTCAGAATTGTCTCTCTCGTCTCCTCTCTCATCTCCTCTCTCGGAATCGTTTTTCTCGTCTCCATTTTCGGAAGCGTCTCTCTCTCTCTCAGAATCGTCTCTCTCTCTCTCTCTCTCTCTCTCTCTCTCTCTCTCTCCCCTTCTCTCTCTCGAAGTCGAAGAAACAATAAAATAAAATTAGGGTTTTGAAACATTTGGGAAAGTTGACTTTTTGAAAATAAAATGAAAATATTATAAATTCTTCCCGCTGGCGGAAAACTGAATTTTTTTAAAATTTTCCAAAATAAACTGAACTTAGTTGTCTCCAAGCAAGCAGTTGAACCAAATTCCTAATAGTTGTACTTTTGCAATTTTATTATATTTCTAGTTGAACCTTCCCCTAAACTATTATGGTGTAGTTCTACAAGTGATTTCAGACCATTAAACATCATTTACAACGTTTTCATAGTACAATGTATGAAGAATTTAATATTTTAATTTTTTAAATCCTAAAAGGCTTAACAATATTGATATCTTCCTTATATTGTAAGGGATGGTTTATGTGAAAACATGATTTTGTATCAAAATAAAAAAAATTAATGTTCTCTATATTAGTAATTGTTTCTTTATAGTTGAAAATGTGTTTATGAGTCTTAATTGATTGATTCACATCACTTGTAGCTTTAAAAATTGTTTAGTTCACTTCTAAAGTTGATATTAGTTGCACCCAGTTGCATATGTTGGTGCAATTTCAAGAAAAACACAAAATTATTAATAATTGTACCCAGTTGCACCTGGTGGTTCGATGTCAAGAAAGCCAAACACACAAACGTTTATAGTTGTACCCAGTTGAACCTAGAAGTGTAAATCAGAGAATGACAAACACATAATCGATAATAGTTATACTCAGTTGAACCTGGAAGTGCGAATGCAAGAAAGACAAATATGTAACTGTTCATACATGTATTCAATTGTACTTGGTAGTGCAAATCAGAGAATGAGAAAGACATAAACGTTAATAGTTGTACCCAGTTAAACCTAGAAGTGTGAATTTGACAAAATGAAACTCAGAATTATTCATACTTGTACCTAGTTGAACCTGGTCATACAAATTTGCTAAACTCAAACACATAAAGATTCATATTTGTACATAGTCTAACATGGTTGTACTAAACCGAGAATTACAAAACACACACACACATACACACACACACACACACACACACACACACACACACACACACACACACACACACACACACACACACACACACACACACACACACACACACACACACACACACACACACACACACACACACACACACACACACACACACACACACACACACAAATAAAACTGCGCTACAAAACAGATGTTATTAAGCGTGGGGTGCCTCTCAACGGCCCGAGAGCATATATCCATCTTTTTGTATACTCTAACACTGAAACAATCTGATTTCTTAAACTTCCATAGTCAAATGTATGTTTGTGTGGTTGATATTCATGCTCTCCTGAAAATATAATAAAAATAATCGATCAGTAATTATACAAAGTACCACAGTTGTACCAGTTGAACTAATTGTCTTAGTTGTACCAATTGTATTAAATCTCTCAGTTGTACCAGTTGAACTCAGTCTCTTAGTTGTACCATTTCGCTCTCAGTTGTACCAGTTTTCATATAATTGTAGATTGATTGAACTCGAGGAACTTCGAGCTTGAATTCTACATATGAATCTGATTAACATAACCATGTTCTTCTCACAAATTACCGAACATATGGCTTAATCTATTCAGAATACATTGTTACCAACCCAAATTCGTATATTTTCAAATCTAAATCCCTACTTTTACCTAATTAAAGAAGAATAATTAGCTTAAAAATGAACTTTCAATGCCAGAAGAGGAGCAATTACAGAAGAGGAGAAAGAATCGAAATCTGGATCGGTCGAAAAGGATGTCGGCTTCGGTGAGAGCAAAAAGAGAGAAAACTCCGATGAGAGAAGATCGGAGATGGGAGATCGAGGGGGAGGGGTTGACGGCTCGTCGGAAAAATAAGCTCTGGGTCGAGAGAGGAAAGGGATGAGCAATTTTAGTTTTTTGATTTTTAGATTTGATTTTTTATTTTTTTACTAAATCACTAATTGACTTTTACTTTTAATTTTACTCAATAAATTCATTAAGGATAATATTATAATTTTCCTTCTCCCTTAATTGATTGAGTGGCATTAGATTAATGAATGGCATAAGAGATCAATTTTTTTTTTAAAATGGCATCTCAGCCTCGTGCTCCTTCTTCTCTCTCTCGTTCGCCGTCTTTCCCGCCCTTACGTTGATAAAACAAAACAGATCGGATCATAGCCACTTAATAATGCATGTCCAGCCATCATCTGCAATGCCTTTTTACTCTAAAATAATTCTACTATATTTTATATTAGGTGTTTCCCCGCACTTTGTGCGGAGTTCGATTAACATTTTTAAAAAGTATAACATTAGTTTATTTATAGATAAAAAATCAGATTTTAGAATGATTTGAAACCAAACTTAATATATTTGAAAAAATACAATCATTGTTTTCTTGTGACAAAACAAAATATATTATTTATATCTTATTTTTTAATATTTTATATATTATCCGATAAAAACTTATAAGTATGCTTTGTTATTTTGTTGCATTTATCAAACATGATAAATAATTCACTTCTTTTGATGTACATTAGTAAATTAAGATTAATAAAATTCAAAGTTTGCATTAAAAAAAATATAGCAATCCAAAATGACCAAAACCAAAGGATCTTTCTTTTATATCAACTTTAATACATTAGTTAATATATATAGAGTTTTAAAAGGGTTTAAATGATTTAGAGTTTTACTTATGATCACATAAATTAATTAGGTTAGTCAAAATATTAGTAGGTTAAACAATCAAATTAAAATTAGTTTAATAAAATAATTAGGATTTTATTTATTTATTCTAGTCATTTTTTTTCGTAAACTGTATATTTTTATGATATAAACTTGAATTTGGAAATCTAGATTTAAAAAAACAAAAATCAATTAAAAATGATATTATATTAATTTGTTAATTTTATTAAAGGTAATTAAAGTAAATTCATATAAGGGGCAAAATATAATGAACCATTATAACTCTCAACCACAACCCAACTTGCTTCTCAATTAATAATATGATTAATTTACTATATGTAAAAACAATTTTATTTTTAAATTTTATTTTAATAAAAAGTTAATATTACTGATAAATATAATATAACTAGTAAAACTAGTATTACTGAAAATCATGATTTTATAGAATAAAATTTGGTACAATTGATATTACTAAGTAAGAGCATTTCCAAGAGACCTTTAAATCTTTAAATTTTAAGGTTTTTGGCTTTCCAAGAGATCCTTAAATCCTCAAATTTTAAAGATGTGAATAGTATGCCCTCAAATATAAGGTTTCACTGTACACGTTCTTAAAAAGTTTTTATATTTACATTTCAGTTCTTATAGTTATATAATCTCACAATAATCTTATTAATCTTTTTAATTATCAGTTTAGTCTATATAATTATATATTTCAAATATATTTATTATATATATTACTAATATTAATCATCAGATATATAAAAAACTTAATAAAATAAAATAGTCATATATAAAATAAATTACATTTCATTAGAAAAAAATTACAAAATAATAATAATACAATAAGAAAATT